TATATATATATATATATATATATGTAAACAAATAAAATTCAAATAGAGGAACATTTCTGACATTCTACACCAGTGATACTCAATTTGTGGTCCAAAAAAGGAACGAGTCTAATGAAACTTTTAAAATGGATTAAAACTTGTCCCGTTTCAAGAAAAGAAAAGGAGAGAGATGAGATAGATGAGAGAGAATGTTTCAGAGTCCTCGACTTAACTGGCTTTAGGACCCTGCGTCACGACTCAGAAGGGGCCAGTGGGCCGTTGGCCGTTGGCCGTTGCGGCGCTGTCCCAATGGGCACGGTGAGCACTCCTATTTACAAGAAATCGTCTCGTAACGTGGAATTGAAGGGGTTCCCTTCTCCGACAGTGATGACCACAATCTCTGTTTGAAGCGGGCGGAGGGGGGAGCATGTGGTAACTTTAGTCTTTTTTAAATCTCCTACAAGCGACCACTACTGTCCGCTTGGCACGCGTAAAAGAAGAGTGGTTCCCCAACTAGATGGGTTGAGGGAGACGCGTGAAAGCGCTATGCAGTCGCACCGAATGCAGCTCTGAGGTGTGATTTTTTTCCTTTTGAACCACTTTTAAAGGAAGACGCGTTCATCGTGAATTCACAGTTTCCTATGGATATTTGATTTCGCCTTAACGCCTCAGCCAAGCTTGCGAAGTTTACACCTTGCGCCCCCCACTCAACGTTAGGACCGCGTCTGAGTTCGGATGTTTATCAAGCAACCTTCTGATATGTCTGAGAATAAAAAGCACAGACTTGCGTGTCAAGACACTAAAGTCTGACGGATTAAACCCTCGGGAGTCCGGGCTGGTATTAGCTGTGGTGCGGAGAGCTGCGAGCCGAGCGCTCTAATGCGGTGGGGGTGTGCGCAATCCCGCAGGCTATACGTCTGTGCGTCCCGCTGATGATAACCTCAGCTGTTTTTAACTCTCCTCTTTTCATCCATATAGTTCAGACTCGTCGGATTTCCGCACGTCTACCTGCACTTTTATGCACTCTCGCTGTGCGTTTACCGTCATCCGGGAATAGATCCGTGCGATCCCTTCCGACTGAATAACGGATCTATTTTTGTGTCGAGACCGTTGAATGGATTTTCAGGTACACTTAGCTGAAACTGGGGAATTGGAACCATACGATTTTCAAAACATTGTTCGGGGCCACTTGGCTCGTGTGCCCAAGAAATGCGTCTCTCTGGCGACATTTAAATCGCTTCGGTTAATACTTTTCTGAGTCTGATTTTTATTTTATTTTTTTGAGATATTAAGACATTGGAGGATAAGATGAACCTGTGCATCGTCAGTCTTCTCCTCACTCTGGATTTAGCCACCGTGGCACTCAGTTTGTCCACATGCAGCACGCTGGACATGGATCAGTTCAAAAAGAAGCGTATCGAGGCCATCCGAGGGCAGATCCTGAGCAAGCTGAAGCTTAGCAGCCCACCTGAGGACTTCCCCGATCCGGAGGAGGTGTCTCGGGACATTGTCGCCATTTACAACAGCACCCGCGACCTGCTGCAAGAGAAGGCGAACGAACGGGCGGCGACGTGTGAGCGGCAGCGGAGCGAGGAGGAGTATTACGCCAAGGAAGTGCATAAGATCGACATGCAGCCATTCTACCCCTCAGAAAGTAAGTGTGTCTGTGTTTGGGGATATGTGTATGTGTGTGCATACATTTGCAGGCCCTCTGCCGCCCCCATTGAGTTGCGTTCATATGTGGTCGCGTGTGTTTGTGATAGTTTTGGAAAATCCATCCCATCGTGCTGGGCTGGATGCAAGGGAAAACAGACAAAATCGGGGAGTTGTGACTGAGCTGCAGTTCTTTTATATCAGCAACGCCTCCTCCTCTCTAACACATGAAATAAATCCTGGTGCAGTGTGTTCACTACTAAGACCATTACATCCGTCAACTTTACCAACACCAGCAGAAACACTTAGAGCTAGGATCTGTAGCTGCGGCTTTGTTACTCCTTTAGTGTTCACTTTCATTTCTCCTCTAGTGGTATCCCTTTATATATCGTTTTCGGTTTTGTTCACTCATGTTTAAAATCAGCTGTCTCTGAGATTCTTTGCCTCTCCTCCACTCATTGGAACTACTTTCCACTACAATTTTAACCCATGTTAAAAAAAAAACCAAAAACCCCAAAACAAAACAAAAATTTCAAAATTTAAACTTCAAAAATTAAAACTTAAAAACTAGCCATGCAAAATAAAGTACAAAAATACAAGAAACGGCAATAATAATAATAATAATAATAATAATAATGAGAAGTGGATAATAATGAGCAGTGAATAAAAATGAGCAGTGGATTAAAGAGAGCATATCTAGTCCAAGTGATTGTATGTGCAAAAACAGCAAACAGCAACAAGGGGGACAGTAAGTTTATAATGGTGTTTATAAAGTGTCTGTACTGTCCATAAAGTGTCCATGGTGCAGTTTACTGTGAGCAGTGCTGGTTATGTAGTCTGACAGCAGCAGGCAGGAAGGACCTGCGATAGCGTTCCTTCACACACTTTGGGTGAATCAGTCTATCGCTGAAGGAGCTCTCCAGAGCTTTTATCTCCTCCTACAGGGGGTGGGAGTCATTAGTCCTCAAGTGTGGAGCCAAGCTGTCATCCTACTTTCTCTCACCACCTGCATAGAGTCCAGAGAGCATCCCAGGACAGAGCTGGCCTTCTTGATCAGCTTGTCCAGTCTCTTCCTATCTGTAGATGTTGCTGCCCCAGCAGACCACTCCGTAAAAGATGGCTGATTCAACCACAGTGTCAAAGAAGGTCTTCAGGAGCACCCCCTGCACTCCAAAAGACCTGAGCCTCCTCAGCAGGTAGAGTCTGCTTTGGTTTTTCCTGTATAGTGCTGTTATGTGATTAGTCCAGTCCAGTTTATTGTTAAGATGAACACCCAGGTACTTATAAGATGTCACCATCTCAATGTCGTTTCCCTGGATGTTCACCGGTGTTTGGGGGAGGAGTCTGCGCCTGCAGAAATCCACCATCAGCTCTTTGGTTTCCCCCGCGTTGATCTGAAGGTGGTTCCTCAGACACGAGTCCACAAAGTCCTGGTTCAGTTCTCTGTACTCCCTGTCGTCTCCATTTGTGATGAGGCCGATCATGGCAGAGTCATCGGAGAACTTCTGCAGATGACAGGTGGAGGTGTCGTATGAAAAGTCTGCAGTGTACAGGGTGAAGAGGAACGGCGCCAGCACCGTCCCCTGCGGGGCCCTAGTACTGCAGACAACCAAGTCGGATACACAATCCTGGGTCCTGACATACTGCGGCTGGTCCGTGGGGTAGTGTGAAGGTCAGGATGTGGGGGGGTTGCAGCCGTGATGTCTGGGCCAGGGGAGGGGCAGACTGATCAAAGAACAGATTCAGATCATCACCCACTTCTGGTCGCCTCTGGCCTGGGAGTCTGGTTGTTTGTGTCCTGAGATGATATTCAGACCCCTCCTGACTCCGCTGACGTCGCTCTGCTGCAGCTGTTCCTCCATCTTCTTTTTATATCCTTCCTTTCCCCGCCTGATGTTTCTCCGTAGCTCCTTCTGCATGGCCTTCAGCTCCTCCTTGGTTCCAGAGTTAAAAAAACTCAGCTTCTCCTTCAGGAGAGCTTTTATATCTGGAGTAATCCAGGGTTTGTTGTTGGAGTAGCAGCGTACAGTCATGGTGGGTACGGTGCTTTCCACACAGAAGTTTATGTAGTCCATAATACATGATGTTAGACTGTCAGTGTCCTCCCCATGGGAATCGCTGAGTACATCCCACACAGTGGTCTCGAAGCAGTCCCTCAGGGCCTCCTCGGCCTCTTCAGACCACCTCTTCACAGTGTGGGTGGTTGCTGGTTTCCTCTGCACCAGGGGTCTGTAGACAGGCAGAAGATGAACCAGGTTGTGATCAGCTCTTCCCAGGGGGGGCAGATGAACCAGGTTGTGATCAGTTTTGGTGTTGGCATAAAGTAAATCCAGTGTTTTATTGTCTCTGGTGTGGCAGGAAACATACTGGGTGAAGGTGGGCAGGGTGGTGAAAGGACAGGTGTGGTTGAAGTCCCCACAGATCAAAAGGAGGGCCTGAGGGTGCTGTGTTTGCAGCCTACTCATAACAGAGTTGAGAATGTCACAAGCAGACTCAGCTTTAGCTGACAGGGGGGACATACACTGCTACCATAATGACATGAGAAAACTCCCTGGGTAGATAATATGGTCTCATGCCAACAGCCAGCAGCTCAATGTCCCTGCAGCAATGCTGTTCTTTGATAGTGATGTTCCCCCAGTTACACCATCTATCATTCAGAAACACAGCCAGCCCTCCTCCTTTCCTCTTACTGCTGTCCGCTGTCCTGTCATGTCTGATGAGCTGGAATCCGTCCAGCGCGGCCATTGTATCCGATACTTACGTGTTCAGCCATGTCTCTGTAAACACTAGCACGCTGCTCTGCTGGTACTCCCTCTGATGGCGAGTCAGCACCGACAGCTTGTCCATCTTGTTGGGGAGCGGTTTTCCATTCCCCATAACGACAGACGGGAGGATGGGTTTGTACCATTTCCTCCGTTGTCGGCACTGCACTCCGGCGCGACATCCTCGTCTCCTTCTCTGCAGCTCGCTGGGAATATCGTGCCTCTCCTCGGGCCGCACCGTGGTGTGATGCAGCACTAACAGCTGGTCCTGGGTGTAAACAATGGAGCCACGGCTGGGTGCCGGGTCCCCGCACATGATCATGTCCATGGAAAAATAGGAGAAAGACTGCTATGAAGAGAGCAGTCTTAATCTCCATACTAAAACAAAACATGAGTGCTAACTAGCTAACTGAAAAAAACTCCAAGTAAGAAAGTTAACCCTATGGGCACGAACGACGCATAGTGCGTCCAAATTCACACCTGTTCTTCTCTATGGATTTTGTCCATAACCGTTCGTCAAAGCGAGAAGCCACGCATATCACTTGAAACAGCGGAATCGTAGCTTTCCGAGAAGACCAAGCACTTGTCAGTAGTCCAATGTTTTCACAGCGAAAAAAAATGATAAAGTTACACTAAAATGATGTATAACAGAGCTTTCATACAGCTTTGCACACACATTACTCTTGGATGGATTACTCGTATATGGCAGAATATGTCATTTTCCAACTTGCTATGCTGAGATACATGTCAAAATGTAAAAATTTAGTCATACTGATTTGTTTTTTTCATTGATATAAAAGTTAATATAAAATACAGGCACATAGCAGGACATGGAATGATGGCAAATCTGGTTAGCCCAGATTGTCCTGGAAAAAAAAAAAACAAAACAAGATATAGCATGTGTATGTAGCCTTTATAATGACTGTGATATGAGCTTTAAAGTAAAGGCAGTAAAAATACCCCAAAAAGGCCTAGGGCCCATAGGGTTAAATGAAAAAGAAATTGAAAGAAGCTCAGCGGTGAGCAGGAGCTGCTGTGACAGGCGACCGCACTGGGGCGCCATCTTGCCAAGAAGGGTGGCATCATGTCAGTGATGACTAACAAAGACAAGTTGTTATTGTACTGAGTATGTGAGCAGTGGCAATGGCAATGATGAGTTAGGCAGTGATCCAAGATTTGTCCTTTAACCCCATTTAAGAGTGTTTACCCTGTCTTATCATGTGTCATCCTTGTGGAAAAATGATTAACTTAGTATTATACAATCACACAAACCAACCTCAACTCAGTTTACCCAACTGTTTATTTGCATAACTTTCACAGCTATTTACGTCAGAGATTTTAGCAGTCCCGAAAACTGGAGCATGTTTTTAGTTGCCACGTACAAACTTCTTCCTTTCTCCTTCTTGAGAGTGTAGGCATCATCAGCACTATGAAGTGTTTGCACTGACATGCAAGCTTCGTAGCTGTTTATGATTTCATCCACTGGGACTTCTCAGTGTAACTTCAGATCTTCTCCCAGTCAGTTTTCAGCACTGATCAGCTTACTTTTGAATTTAGCCCAAAATTTGCATCTGCTTGAATGCACCTTAAATGCTAGGTGCCACTTTCCATTAAAAAAAGGAAGATGGCAAGACCAGCCACCAAGGCTTACTGTCACTGAGCAAATGTGTATGATAACCTTATAACATTACAACAACGTTCAATGTGCTCCTTTGATCATGGATAGCAGCGCTGGGCTACCCCATGATATAATTTGCCACATAAGGTTATCTTCAGTAGCTGTGTGGATAGTCAACTTATGTAATGCTAATAGTAGGTTAGCAAGTTAATGTTATGTTAATTGCAGCTATTTCATTTTAATGAAATGACATAACCTAAATAAATGTGGATAAACATAATATGAATAAAACTTTAAAACACTGAATTGTCCATGAACAAGATTCCTGCCTGGGTCACATAATCACTGTCTCCCCTATATGCATTTAGCAGCAGTGCTGTGCCACTGCTATAAAAATCTCCCCGTACAAAGGTAACTCACTCTTTCTACTTTAAGCAGCCAGAGTTTGGGACAAGCGGGAATTGTAAATTGAACACCCAAAGACAAGGGTGCTCTGATTGATCAGCCACTGATTATTATCAGGAGATATTTGTTTGAAATAGTTCAAAGGCCAATTAGACGAGCAGATCACATGATGCAAAACACTCCAGACAATTTCTCTATGCACCACTAAAATAGCTT